TTTACTGAGGAACTAAAAGCCTCGCTAAGTGAACTCCTACATTTTAGTAAACGTTTTTTTTTGCCCCCCTGTTTTATGTCCTTATCTTCTTCTCCAAACTGGCAAAGTGTTGTAGTGGACGATGTATAATTATTCTCCTCTTGTTCTCCTCTTATTGATCTTAAATTGTCCTTACCTTTGCTTTTCTTTTTTCCCACGTCATTGTACATAGCAATATCTTATTTAAAGTGAATTGAAGGGGAGTTACAAGTGTATCCACCGCTGCATCGGAGTTATTACGATGAGTACATCCAATTCGCCCGAGCGAACCACGCTTAAAATTGGCACGGCTCTAAGGGACTCTAGGTTGCGGGTGTCTCAAGAAAGGCAAAGTACCTCTATGTCTCAAGAAAACTCAGGAAATATTGATTTGAGGAGGGAATTTGGACGAATTGCCGACTCAAGTGCGTTTATTATTCGTGCTATTGAGTCTTTATCTAAAAGCGATGTTCATACTATGGATATTGATGTCGAGATGGTCCTGAACGATATTGAGCGAGAGGAAGATTTTATTTTTTCCCCTATTCCTCAGTACCTTCAACTTGAGTGGAAGCGAATGGCATCTGAAAATGCTCGTGCTAGAAGTGAGGCTGTGATGAAGGTGGATGCTCTTGCCAAGCTTCATCGCGAAGGAAAAGTGCGTGCTGACTACAGTGAAAATGGCCGAATTGTGATTGATCCTTCTGTTCCTTTGCCCATGCCTTTCAGCAGAGAACGTTATCAGCTGTCTCCACAAAGGAAATCTGTGCCTGGCTCTTATCATAGTTTGTTTTTTGGAGAAGGGGAGCCTGTGGTGTTTACTCCACCGGAGAATAACAAACGGAAAGAGATTGAAAAATTAAATGAGGAACGAGAGAATTGGAAGAAAAAAATGCAACGTGCTCCTCGCATTGAAGATATTCAACCCAAAAAAACTCTAAAGGTTCCAAATGATTTCGTTCCTTCGTGCGCGCATGTGGATAACTCTTTGGCCCAACAGGAGTTGCAGAAGAGGAATGAAATTGAGAAGAGTAAGAAGAAAAACAATGCAACGGCAAGGACAAAGCCAGCAGAACCTGCACCTTGATGCGCTCTTAAGAAGTAGTAGAAGGAAAATAAACAAGGAAACGGGTGGAATGAATTTTCAAATTTTTATCTCCTTTGACTTGCTTATTCTACAGCGAAATTTTTTTGCTGCTATGACTAAGATAAAGAAAAAGGAGCGGAGACAATTTATCTGGGATTAGTGGAGCTGTATCTTGGGTCCTTTTTTTATATGTATGGCCTATAGATTATTTGCGACATATGGTGTAGTGTGCTGGAAAGTCTGAATGTTCAGTTTTGCAATGTTGCATCATTTTTGGGCTGGTTTTATGTATTTGTTTTTGCGTACCCAATGACTAGGGTAGTCATTCCTATGAAATGGGAATAAAATGGGTTGCTGACGCATTTTCCCCTCCATCTACTGCTTTTTTATTATTGTTCTATTTGTGCTGTCTGTGTTTTGTGGTACTTATTTATTGGGTTTTGTTTTTTTCTTGATTTTACTTTTTTGCTTTGTTTCTTAGCCCAAGGTATTGTGTAAACTACTTCAAGTGAAAATAAATATTTTTTGAGGGAAGCCATGTCTGCCGATCGAAAGGCCGTCATCAAGAACGCTGACATGCCTGAGGACATGCAGGCTGATGCCATTGAGGTTGCTCTGCAAGCCATGGAAAAGTTTAACATTGAAAAGGACGTTGCCGCCTATATCAAAAAGGAATTTGATAAAAAGTATCAGCCGACATGGCATTGTATTGTGGGTCGAAACTTTGGCAGTTACGTTACCCATGAAACTCACAGTTTCCTATACTTTTACTTTGGCCAGGTCGCGATTCTCCTTTTCAAGTCAGGTTGAAAGGTATTGTAGATCTTGCGAGGCACTGCACATTGAGGAAAACAAAATCTTTGTCACGTATTTCCTTATCTATTGAGGTAGCCCT